TTATTTTCATATTTCAAGATGTTGTTGAAATCTTGAATGATGGATTACCAAAACTGGAAGTAAATGCAACGGAGGCTCAAAAAACTGTGCACATTGATTAGAGGAAGAAAGATGGTAAAGCACTATTCTTGATTCACCAGTGTGTGGATTCTAATATATTTGAGAAGATAATTGAAGAAGAAACAACAAAAAGAGTGTGGGACAAGTTAAAGAACTTGTATGGTGGAGATGAGAAATTGAAGAAGGTGAAGTTGCAGATGCTAAGGAAGCAATTCGAGATGATTCAAATGAAAGAAGATGAATCAATTTATGTATATTTCTCAAGAATTGTGACACTAACAAACCAGATGAAGGCATGTGGTAAATCGGTTACGGATCTACAGAAGATTGAGAAAGTGTTAAGATCTTTGACTGCAGATTTTGACTACATTGTTATGACAATTGAAGAGGCCAAGACTCTATCTGAGATAAAGTTAGAAGAACTTCAAGCTTCATTTGAGGCTCATGAGATGAGATTGAAGCAGAGAAACTCAGAAAGATCAGAGAAGGTGGTTGAACAAGCATTGCAATCAAGATTCAACAAGAAAGCTGGAAAGGAGAAGTCGAAGTAGCAAAAGAATTTTGCTAGTGATGAGAAGTCAAGAAAGAATACTAATTCGATCAAGAAAGATGTGGACAACAAGTATTCTAGGAAGAAAGTTGACACGAAAGAGGTGCAGTGTTACAATTGTCAAGGTTTTGGTCACTATGCTCGAGATTGTCGAAGAAAGAAAGCAGCAAGGGCGAAAGATAGTGAAGTTCAATATGCACGAGCTAGAGATAGTGATTATGATGATGTGTTGTTGATGGTCAACACTCAGTCGAACACTGAGAAAAATAACATGTGGTATCAGGATTCAGGATGCAGCAACTACATGACTGACAATAAAAACTGGTTTACCAAGTTAAATGAGTCAGTCGAAAAGGTGATAAAGTTTACAGATGACAGACACATCAAATTAGGTGGTAAAGAAGATATTTAGATTGTCAGGAAGGATGGTCGAAAGGCCATTATCACTGAAGTGTTGTATGTACCTTCTATGACAAGTAACTTGATAAGTTTAGGTCAATTACTTGCAAAAGGTTTCAATATGAAGCTGGAGACGAATCAGATGAAGGTATATAAGGATGATGAGAGGCTAATAATGAAAGCACCATTGGAAGAAAATAAAAATGTTCAAAGTTGAACTCAACACAACATATAACAAATGTCTAGCTTTAACTACAAAAGAAGACAAGAAATGGCTATGGCGCCACAGGTATGTACATCTAAACTTCAGAATTTTATGCATGCTCAATCAGAAAAGGATGGTGTTGGGGTTGCCTTATGTGAAGGAACCAAAGCAGGTGTGTGAGGAATGTTGAAAAGCAAATCATACGAGGAAGGCATTCAAATATTACTTTCCCATGAAATCAAACAAAAACTGGAGCTGGTTCATTCTGATGTGTGTGGACCTTTTGAAGTAAATTCAAATGGAGGTAACATGTATTTCCTTACTTTCATTGATGAATTCACCTGACATATATGGATTTATCTTATTGAAAGGAAGAGTGAGGTATTCACACAATTCAAGAAGTTCAAGTTGCATGCTGAGAAACAAAGTGGATGCAAGTTGAGATCTGATGGAGGTGGTGAATATACTTCTGCAGAATTTGCTAGACTTTGCAATGAGGAAGGTATAAAGCATGAGGTTATTGTGCCCTATACACCTCGGCATAATGGCATAGCTGAGAGAAATAATAGAAGTATATTGAACATGACAAGAAGTATGTTGAAAGCCAAAGATATATCTAAGAGTGGTTTATGACGGAAGTGTGTCGCTGGGCGACGGATGGCAGCCTTGGTTGGCTGAGTTGGATTTCTTAAAAAGGTCATAACTTTAGTTCTATAGCTCGGTTTAAGGTGTCGTTCAAAGCAGTGTATAGCTGACCCAGTGAACCTTAGTTAAATGGAATAAAATGAGAACTTATGAGTATTTTTCCAATACCTAAATTAGAATAGAGATAGGTTCCCTCGTCGAATCAGAATGATGTTTTGTTTACTATGATGATGTTGTATGTTATGATGATATGATGATGGGATGATGTCGTTATGTTTATATGAGATTGTTATGGTGATGTTTGTTTATTATGATGATATGATGATATTGATGACTTCATTAATGATGATGCATATGACTAGTCGTGGTCGTTTTATATTTGTTGTTGCGTATCATGCATTCATGGTATAGTTTGGACAACTTTGGTCCGTCCATGTTGATTTTGGACTTTGGTCCAGTATTGGTCTCAATTCCATTGTCTGGATTGAGAGTGTTGATTTTGTGCTCCGATTCCAAAAGGGGATCGATCCTATGGTGGGGATCTTTGGAGGGTGATGGCCTAGTTCCCATCGAAAGAAATGGTACCACATGCATGAGTCTATGATCTTGCACTATATCTTATGTGGCATTTCATAATTGTTGATTTTGATGATGTCATAATATGGTATTGTATTAAATAACGATGTTGATGAGTTGATGTTATGATATTGTTGGATTATTATACTATGTCTATTCCTTATGTCTTATATAATGATTATGATTTACTCACCCTTTCTGCTTGAATGTTGCGTCTACGTGGGTAACATGCAGGTGATCAAGATTAGTTCTTAAAGACCTAGAAGAATAGATTTGGAGTGTTTCATTTAATTCTATTGAGTCTAGAAGGTCTTGCTTTGATATGTATCATCAGAGATGTGAACATTTGATTTGAAACTATTATGTTCTTTGTTTTATTATGAGATTTTTAAACTACCTTTCATGGAGTTTAAGTTGTTGTGAATTATGAACCATGAACGATGAAGTTTCTATGATGTGTTTTAATAAGGATGTTTTGAACTATGAATTCCGCGGCGAGTAAGTTGAAGTATTGTGGTTGTTATTTAATGAAGCATATGTCATAAATGATTTTGAAAACCTATGTTACGAAGTAAGACATGCATGTATGTTGAATATGAAGTATATGACGCTCTTTGGGTGAAATACTATGATTTATTTAATTGAATATTCCTTGGGGTTTAGAAGGGTTTTACAAAGCATGCTCTGCGACTTTGAAACTAATTAAATAGGAAAAACACATTTTTAGGTTATGGGTTGGGTATTTTTGTGTCCCAACACCATTAAACCCATTTTTTTTGGTAAAGAGGGCTTATAAAACATCAATTGGGGTTGCATCTTGTCGAAACGGAGGTGGATTCTCACCAATCTTCTTGACAACTCGAGAAGTGTTGGTTTATCTCTTTTTCCTCTTTTTGTAAACTATATTTTGTTGGGTTATGTTTGTATAGTTATTCTGAACATATGCATATGTATTGATCATGGTGTTGTATTATATATGCTTTACAAAATAAATCTTGTTGCTTTCCTTTATCTTTTTGCATTTATGTTTGGATTTGAGTTATTATAGACATATACCTCACAAGTATTGATTAGTGAAAGAAATATGTTAGGTTCTAAACTCTAGAGATGGATTTAGGCTTAACAATCACTTGAGTATTGAAGTTTAATGCTTCCATATTGAAGTTTCGCGTGAGACATCACTGACGTGAGAACACGGTCGTTCTCGCAATTTGGGTTAGATATAACCTGAGTTGTGATATGTCTCGTTGGTGTTGCAGAGATGGACACTCATGTGAGAGATACATGATGATTTTGACGAGTATTGCATGTTGAGTACAATTGATCAATAGATTTAAGTTTCTGACGAGTAGTATACATTCGTGCTTGATAAGTCTATCCTCTCTGAAGAATGTATTTATTTTCTGTTCATATATTTTCATTTAAACCAAAACTCATTAACGCGAGACTTATCGAATGGCAATTCAGTATGCACTAACCCTTGTGGAGACGATATGATAAAACTAAATGAATACGTACTTTTTGTTTCTGCTTTACCGCTTCAATAGGTGATGTGGTAGAGTTTTTAGGAATGTAATTTGGGTTGAGTTGTAAAGCTAAAGAGATAAGAATGAGCGCTAGATGACAAAATATGAAAATTGCTATTTTGGAGCGCTGCAATAGCCACTTTGCACAACAGGCTTGCTGCGAGATGTGTTGTCTCTTGCATGTGTTACATATTTATTTTAGTACTTGTACTAAAGGATAAAAAAGGGAGGAAGATTTATTCTTTAGACCTAATCAATCAATACGCCAAAAACGAGTTTTGGCACCGCTACATAGACAGCGCTTATGCAAAAGCGTTGCTGTAGGTATCCAAAAAAAAAAAAAACTTTAGACAGCGCTTATTAAAAGCGCTGCTATAGGCCTTATCAAAGGCAGCGCTTTTTCTCCCTAAGCGCTGCTATAGGGTTTTAAAAAAAATAAAAATTAAAAAATTAATAAAAGCGCTGCTAAAGGGTATGCTTTAGACAGCGCTTTCAAAAAGCGCTGCTAAAGGTGTAAGTCTAAAAGAGCTGCTAAAGGGGGGTAAACCTAAAGCGCTGCTAAAGGGGGTACCTTTAGCAGCGCTTCTTGAAAGCGCTGCCTTTGTGTAAATCTAAAAGCGCTGCTAAAGGTGGGGTAAGCCTAAAGCGCTGCTAAAGGGGGGGTACCTTTAGCAGCGCTTCTTGAAAGCGCTGCCTTTGGTTTGTTAATTTATTTCTAAACCCCTAACCCCTAAATCAGATTTCCAGAAACACAAAATTAAACCCATATCGCTGTTCATCTTCTTCTCCATTCGTCTCCTCCCAAACTCCCCCTGTCTCACTCCATTACTCCCTTTGTTCCGTCATTTCTCCAATATAACTCCCTCCGGTAGTCATCCAACACCGCTTTTCCCCTGCAACTCGCCATCATTTCCCCTCCTCACCATAAACAAGCTTCCGCCAAAACAACTTCATTCAACCGTTCCATCTTTCATAAAACCCTAAAAGAGCCATTTCTGAGTGTTGAGATTTGGCCGAATTTGCTTCAGCTGCTGTGAAGATGGTGAAAGGACGTCAAGGTGAGCGTGTTAGGTACCTTCTTCATTTCGTCTGTCATCATTTTTTTCGTTCAGATTTGCAATTTTTTGTACTCGTAGCTTTTGACGTGATATTGTAGTTTAATCTTTTTTCTGCTATTCGTTTTCAATTTGTGTTAGGCTTTATGTGAGGGGCACAATTCTTGGATACAAGAGGTATATTCTTCATTCCTCTGTAAAAATTTTAATTCTTTTACCCATGATGCAAAACTGAAATATAGTGTTAAGAGTATTTTGTTTGATACTTATTCCTTCATGTTGTTTTTGTAGATCCAAATTAAACCAGTACCCAAACACATCTCTGGTCCAAATCGAAGGAGTTAACACCAAGGAGGAGGTAGCTTGGTATGCCGGCAAGCGATTGGCATATATCTACAAGGCCAAGGTGAAGAAGAATGGAACCCATTACCGCTGCCTATGGGGAAAGGTTACAAGGCCACACGGAAACAATGGTATTGTTCGTTCCAAATTCACATCAAATCTTCCTCCCAAATCAATGGTAATAATTTACCAATACAATTATTTAAATCATTGTGTTTTGTAATGTTATATTCACTTTGAGTTTTGATTCATTTCAGGGATCAAGGATAAGAGTATTTATGTATCCCAGTAACATTTGAGGTAAACCTGAGTCTGGATTCTTTTTGAGTTCTGAATCCTTTGTGTTTTTCTTATGCATTTTGTTACTTGATGTGTTTTTTTTTCATATATGGTTCTATCAACATTCTTAAGATAAACCAAACTTTCTAGTATAATAACAAAACTCTCAAAATAGTGAATCCATCTTTCCTGTAGTCGTCATTTGTTTTTGTTATCATTTAATTTAATACTTTGTCTTACCCAAAAGTTATAGTTGTGCTGTCCTTTACTGGTAGATGTCTGATCTGCAAATTTGACTATTTTATGCTTGAATAATCAATTGTGACTATTTTATAGGGTTTTCAACTCACCACCGATTCACGCTCCTTCATCATCTGCTTATCCAATCCGCAGCTTTTCTGCCTCCAAGACCACCAAACAGAACTGTAACACCTCCACACTTCTATATCCGCACTACCGGCTACTCCACAACCACCAACCAGACAGTTTCTCGTCAACCAACAATCGCGCACCTCTCAACAACTGCACCGCACCTAACTCACCAATCTGACCATCAATTCATCCGCACCAAGCCTCCACTACCCGACACCGCCAGATCCACGACACCATCCTCTGACCATACGCTTTGCCACGGTTTCAGTCGGTAATATCTTTGTCTTGGATTTTTGTATGATACTTGTGGTTTAGAAATATGAACCATTTTTATGTATCCTTGCAATTTTCATTTTTTTTATTTAGGTCTAGTTTACTCAAAATTGAAAAGGGGGTGGTGTTGTTCTTCGAGAGAGAAAGAGAAAAGCATTCTGAAGGGTTTAATGATGTTTTGATAGTTTTTCTTTGGTCATATTGGTTTTAATTGTGTTTTTTTTTTAACATTTTAGAATGTGATTTGTGTTAGATTGGGTTTGGACCTCTTAACCGCTTCATCTTCATCGTTACCAACCACTTCTCAGAACTCAGAAAACTGATTATTTGAAAAGTGATTATTTGAATAGTGATTTTGAAGAGTAGCTTTTTCTCGATCTGTATTTTCAGGTAGTTAATACGATTAAGTGATTATGATTTAAGTTACTTTTTCACCTCTTGTTATTGTTACTACTGTGATTATATATGTATATATTTTCCATGAAGCTGAACCTCACGAGTCTTATTCTCAACTACCACAGTTCTCTTCTCATACACACTGTTAGTTGGATGCATTATAGTTTTCAAAGCAGTTTTTTCTGTCTCACTCACTCTTTGACTCACTCTGATAGTGTTTTTTGTTTGTATAATTATAGATTTGTGTGACTTGAAGGTGAATCAGTTTAAGAATAATCGAAGGAAAATGAAAGGTGCGGTTCTTGTTGCAATTGCTGCTTCCATCGGGAATTTTCTTCAGGGTTGGGATAATGCTACCATTGCTGGTAATTTTCTTGCTTTTTTCTTTGATTCTTCTAATTTGGTTGTTTATAGATTTAATTAGATGGTTAGTAATTACAACTTACAAGGTTTTTTTTCTTCAAATTCGGCTTATTTGTTTACGGATTAGATTAGATGATTAGTAATTATGATTCAGGTTCAAATGAATTTGATATTCAAATCATTGATCTTAGTTTGTATGGTTAAATGATTCAATTTGTTATTTTTGTATCGGCTGAATCGGATCTAAGATATGTCTGGATTCAGTTATTTGTGTTTATCTGCTAACATAAGCACTTCTGAGTCTGTTTTAATATAAGCTATAAGCTTATGAATCCATCTTATAGCTTATGTGAAAACTTCATTTTATTTTTTCATATAGAAATAAATAGCTTGTACATAAGCACGTATATGATATAAGCACTTAATTAAGATGTTTGTTCGAATAGGTTCTAGTATGGTCCAATTTAACAAGCAAAGTGTTTCAGCAGGAATTGTATGGTGTGAGTTGCTTATTGAATGCTTATTTTTCATGTTTGTTTGTAGGTTCGATTCTTTACATTAAGAAAGACCTTGCTATGCAAACAACTATGGAAGGGCTTGTGGTGGCCATGTCGCTAATTGGAGCTACTGTCATTACGACTTGCTCTGGTCCCATCTCAGATTGGTTTGGTCGGAGACCAATGTTGATAATCTCATCTGTGCTGTATTTCTTGGGTAGTTTGGTGATGTTATGGTCTCCTAATGTTTATGTGTTGTGCTTAGCAAGGCTGCTTGATGGATTTGGTATTGGCCTTGCCGTAACTCTTGTTCCGGTTTATATATCGGAGACTGCTCCCTCCGATATAAGGGGGTCGTTGAATACACTTCCCCAGTTTAGTGGTTCTGGAGGAATGTTTTTATCATATTGTATGGTTTTTGTGATGTCATTGAGTGCCTCGCCTAGCTGGAGAGTAATGCTCGGGGTTCTCGCTATTCCTTCTCTCTTCTTTTTTATATTGACATTATTCTTCTTGCCCGAGTCTCCTCGATGGCTCGTGAGTAAAGGAAAGATGCTAGAAGCTAAAAAGGTTCTCCAACGATTACGTGGCCAGGAAGATGTGTCAGGTAATGTTACTATATCTAAACCAATTTCATCCATTTGAACAAGGACAGTGTCTCTTTACGTAATGTTGGGTTTATGGTTACTTAGTTTCAGACAAACGTTAAAATTTTAATTGAAAGTATGCACTTAATTGAACTTTGTTCAAGCTATAGCACTTAATTGTATTGATGTGTTTTGTGTTTGATACCGTTCATTTCTTCACACATTCTCTTTTTGCCTTTTTATTGTTAATTTTGTTATCTTATATCATTTTATAAATTCCTATAGGCGAGATGGCATTGCTGGTTGAAGGTCTCGGGATTGGATGTGATGCATCTATAGAAGAGTACATACTCATGATATTTTGCAAACCAAAGAAATTGTAAGTATTATTGTTATTGTTGTTATTCCCTAACTGTAGCTGTTGATGATGAATATGATGATCAGTAGTAGTAGTATAAGTATTATGATCATCAGAATCTTGTTCTTGCTTACACCAAAGCTTCTGAGTTTGAGTTTGTGCACCATAAGGGTAATGCTGCAACTGCATGTTGTTGGTATTGTAAGGGTGTTGTGGTTGTTGGAATGAAAGAGCATGCCAATTAGCTGCTGCATAGTTGTTGATGACTTGATCTGTTAAATGGGAATTAGTAGCATTATTATTGATGATGCTATGATGATGATGATCTTGGCCAATATTATCCACCACATTAACACTCAATAATTCAACTTGCTCCATATCTTTCAAACGCTTTGCAGCACCACCGATCGGTAAAGTGCTGCTCTCAAGTATGGTTTTCACATCGTATCGACTCATGTCGAAATTTGTAACCGCACTTAGTCCTCTGAACTTTATGGCTGCTACATCATATGCCTCTGCTGCCTCTTTTTTGTTATATAGTTAGTTAGAGATTAGAAAGTTAGTTATGAATGAATTGAATTAAGTGTGGACTGTTTTATTCTGGTATGAAAGTATGAAATGTTAACTGGATTTTCGTTGTTCATTTTTCTACATGGCTGAAATGATGAGCTGGTTCAAGGTTCAATTTTTGTTTTTGTGAATTGTTTCCAACTATTTTTTTGATCTGGATTTTTGTTGGACTGATATGGATTAAAGCAAGTCTGACTGGTTCAATTTGGAAAGTTTGGATGCAGGTTAAATTATTTTATTGAAAACTGGTTTGAATTATGGAATGTATGAGGATGATTTGGGATATGTAAATGGCGTTTGTTACAGGTTCTGGTAGGTTCAATTTGTGATGTTGATGATGGTTTCGCTGCAGGAGGGTATGAATGGATTTGGATGTGGCATAAAAGTTGCATACTAAAAGATCACGATGTTTTTGATACTTGGCCTTGAAGATGATAATTTGAAGATGAAGAAGCCTGGGAATGAAGGATGAAGTTATCGAGACCAAAGGCTTGGTCTTGAAGCAAACTTGAAGAGACTTTTTTAGAATTAGGTCTAGAACCAAATCTTTGTATAATTTTCCTTGAAATTTGTAAAGGATGACTTTTCTTGCGTTGATGTATTGGTGCCTTTGAATTTGGAGCGTCCTTGCATTTTGTACACTTTGTAATTAATGGTAAAAAACTCCAAGTATTCAAGCCAACTTTCTTCTCCAAATTGCATACTCCTTTCTTTGATCTTGAAGTATCATTGATAGAATGATGATGAATATTGTGGACTTTGATGATGAATGTATTTGAAATTTAGCTTCATAATTCGAACTTGAATGATGATGAATAATGTTGAATAGCAATTGAACTTAAATTTTAAAAAAAAAATAAGGAAAAGCGCTGCTAAAGGGGGGGGGGGGGGTAATAGACAACGCTTTTCATGAAAGTGCTGTCTAAAGTGATTGAAAAAAAAAATTAAAAAAAAAAAAGGAAAAGTGCTGCTAAAAGGGGGGTAATAGACAGCGCTTTTCATGAAAGTGCTGTCTAAAGTGATTGAAAAATTTTTTTAAAAAAATGAGGAAAAGCGCTGCTAAAGGGGGGGTAATAGACAGTGATTTTCATGAAAAGCGCTGTCTAAAGTGATTGAAAAAAAATGAGGAAAAGCGCTGCTAAAGGGGGGTAATAGACAGCGCTTTTACCAAGCGCTGTCTAAAGTGATTGAAAAAAAAAGCGCTGTCTATACCTTTAGCAGCGGAGGTTTTAGCAGCGCTTTTAAGCGCTGTTAAAGGTCTAAAAAAGCGCTGTCTAATCCCTTGTTTGACATAGTGAATAGATAGTCAAAAGATCCAAGATCCAAAGTTTACAAGCAACCCTACAAATTAAGGAGGTTATAAAAAGGCTTACGTTGGGAAAGGGAAGAACATTCAAATTTATAAAATACTTAGAGAAAAACAGTTCTTCATAAAGAAAAAGGCTTAGCCAGATTCTAACATGTCTCTAGCCTTATCATTCTTGAAGATACTGCTTAATAAGGCATGACACTACTCGCCTCTTGTTAGTTGAAGACTGCAAGTAGGAGAAGTGTCACTCTTAGGTTTATCTTTTATTTATTTTGTTGCTTATAAATGTTAAGCTTCAGATCTTATATTGTTATATTTCTTTTGTTCACCATGAGTTTAACTCTTTTTGTTGGTTAATGTGAAGTTTAATGAAAAGTAACCTTTTGTGTGATGTAATTTGATTTTAGTGACATACTTTGTCATATGCATTAACGTTATATATATTTGTTTCCTTGATTGGCCATCTTGAAAATAGATAAAAAAACTATTAATGTTGATGAATCCTTTAATAAATAGACATCATGAAAAATATGGATAAAAAAGTAAATAAGAATATTTTCCATTTAGTTACCTTAGGTCTAAAGAACTAAAACTATAGAGGAAATCATAACTCAACAAAGAAGTGCATAGATGATATTGTGAGGCTTAGGTTCTATAGCTATTTACTTCACCTATTTTGTCATTGTAGACATACACCATCAGATAATATTTTGACCTCATCTGTCACGACATATCTTATCACATTAACACAATAAGTGAAATCATTGAATGAGTCATTTTCCAACATGTTTCACACCTCTGCTAAACTTTCTTACTTCTTAGTTTCTATTATTCTTTATGAACTAGTGACATGAAACAATTAGTATTATTATTCGCTCATGATTATTCATAATTTTTTTGAATTGAAAATCAATTTAAGTTAATAAAATATTTGTGGGAATGATAATTTAATTTTAACACTTGCTACCATTTTGATTATGTGTACTTGCACGTACAAAACATCCAACAAATATTTGGCGTCATTGTTAGAGATTGTGTCATTAAAAATTTTATTTTTATTACAAAAATTAAAAATGCATTTCATCTTTTAATTTTTTGTTTTGTTTTATGGTGTCACGACAAGTGTGTGATTGTTGTATGTGCAGGTTGTTAACTCTTATTTATAAAGGAGGCTATGAACCAAAAGGAAAATTTAGAATTTTAAAGAGATACCAAGTTGCAACTCAATAACCATGAACACTTATTCCTGCTCTTTTGTTTGAAGACTTTGAAGAAGATCTTGGAGGAAGTTAACAAGAATAAAAAGAATCCATGGTCAAATTTGACATCATCGGCATTTCTAAAGATATAGAAAGAAACATTATAGATTAGTTGTTTTTAATGCAAATGCCATGAATATTTGAATTATAAGGTCAGAGATTATTGTGGTCTAATTTGAGTTTAAACCAATGATGTTCCATATGCTTCAAACCATTTACCAACACTCATGTGTTTCCACTGATGTTCCTCATTTACACTTAAGGTAATATTTGGAAGTTGCTAGCAATTTCAGGATCCCTAGAGGCATTGATGATGATTTTAGGTTGGGGTTGTTTCCCTATTTTCTAAGGCATAAAGTTAAAGGTCGGCTCAATTCTTTGGAACAAAATTCCATAGTCACATGTTTTTAGCCAAATACTTCCCGCTTGACAAGAAAGCTAAGATGAGAAATGAGATCACCACATTTGAACAAGGGGAAAATGAATCTTTGTTTAATGTTTGGAAAAGATTTAAGGATTTATTGTGATAATGTATACACCATGGGTTTAAATTGTGTATTCAGATTGAAACATTTTACAATGGTTTACTTCCATTATTAAGTAATATGTTGGATGCATCATTTGGTGATGCATTATTTGTTTAAGTTTTATCAAGAAAGATATAATTTGATTGAAAATATTATTATCAATATTTATCAACCGTCAATCACAAGAGTTGACATTAATATAATCCAAAGGAAATCAGTTGGTGTTCATGAAGTTACTGAGACCACAACTTTTACTACTCAAGTTGCACAAATTTCCTAAATAATGAAAATGTGCTGACACCTTTTACGCGTGTAACATCCTCTATTTTTTTAAACTAAATGATTTAAACTTTTAACTTTATTTATTTACTTAAAATATTTTAAACAACCTATTTTATGTGGTTATAATATAAATATAAGTAGTTTCTAATTATTGGTCTTTGTGTCATTATTTTATAAAATTATTTTAACTATTAAATTTTGGTCTATTATATTTATTAAAATAATAAAAAAATAGACTTGATAGATAAACTTTACTTTGATTTAGTAAATAATAAAATTATTTGATTATATATATGTTAGGAAGTTTATTATTATTATTATTATTATTATTATTATTATTATTATTATTATTATTATTATTATTAAACTATTAGTTGTACTTTTGTTTGTTTAGCAATTCCTAGTTTTTAGGAAAGACCAGTTCTTTAGGAAGAATAGAGTTTGTTTCTGTTTGGTTATTACCACGTTTCAAATTTGTTAGTAGTAGATTTTATTCTGCTTGTAAGACTATTTATAAGCTCTATTTTGTGAATGAACAATTATCCCTTCCAGCTATTTGTTATTCTAAAACTAACATTTGGTATCAAGAGCTGTGTAAGGGGCCAAATTAAAAGTGTGTGAGCAGAATGACAACTTCAGAAAAGTTTGTGCAGCCGTCTATTCCCAAGTTCGATGGCCATTATGATTATTGGTCAATGATGATGGAGAACTTTCTAAGGAGTAAGGAAATGTGGAATCTGGTTGATGAAGGAATTCCTGCAGCAGCAATTGGGACAACAGCGGCGAGTGAGGCGCAGAGAAAGACGATGGAAGAAGCCAAACTCAAAGATCTGAAGGTCAAGAATTTTCTGTTTCAGGCCATTGACAGAGAAGTTCTTGAAACAATTCTTGACAAGGGAACCTCAAAAGCAATTTGGGACTCAATGAAGCGGAAATATCAAGGGTCTACAAAGGTGAAAAGGGCACAACTGCAAGCATTAAGAAGGGAGTTCGAGTTGTTGGCCATGAAAGAAGGAGAGAAAGTAGACACTTTCTTGGGGCGAACCTTGACCTTAGTGAACAAAATGAAGTCAAATGG